TTAATGAAACATCCGGTGGCATTACCGGATGGTCTACCATTGTGGTCAAGCCGAGTAAGTTGGCCAAACCGGCATACAGGTTGCCATGAGGTTACACAAACACGAATCCGCTGTAAGACAGAAGGATAAACTTTCCTTGGTAACCGCTCACGCGTCCTCGCCAGGGCACAGCCTTGATTTCGAGTGCATGAGAATTTAGGGTCATGGAACAGAAAAGGCTAATCCCAACGAGTAATAGTGAGAAGAAGACACAATCACTTGAACAAGAACTTTACTAGCCTGGCGTTTCGGGTTCTCTCTCGAACCCATCAGCAGAGATATTTGCATTATATACTACATATATAATAGATATTTGATTTTGAGCTGCTATTTTTAATTGCACTCTATTCAGTTGGGAAACTTATTATCGTATACTACTCTGCCTTTTTCTGCTTTGTTTTTCTACAATGAGACCATCTGTACAGCAAGCTAGATCCTCTTTGCATGAACTTAAATTGACATTTTTACCGACAACAGTCCATGACGCTAGTCTTTGCACTTTCTGTCCCGTGTCTTAGATATGATTCTTCCATGTTAACTTTATCACGCTCTCGCAGAAGTCTATGCAGCGGAAAAAACACGATTGTGGCTGGCGGGATGCCCTTACATGAGGTAAGCACAAATTGTCAATTCCAGCATTTCTGTCGAGAAACTTTCTTTCAATATTCAATTGAACCCAAGATATAGAATTACTTCCGTTGAAGAAAAAGGACACAGTAAAACTAGAGTTATTTGCCTTCAAGAGACTTGATTGACTAGAGATATTGAATTGCAAACCATTACACCTCCGTGTTTTTACTGCTTTTTGCACGGACAGAAAATCCTCATCGAGCAATTGAGGTGATGGAGTGGCTGTTTTTCTAAACCGGAAATTTGTCATAAACTGTAAGTCCCTATTTACGTACTCGAATCATTTCATAAACACTATCGCTCTCGTCTGCAAGCCCCGAGAGGACACTTAAGGTGCGCGACACTTCCTCAGAGAATAATCGCTTGCTTCAGACTTGTGCTTCTGAAAATATCCCTGCCTTCCTCGAACACTCAAACTTCGAGTCATTACAACTTTTCTAAATGAAGCTTCAATAGCTGCTGTATCCTTAACACCGTTGTGGTTAGAGTCGATAGAATTTCTTTTAGCAATCTAAAATTTTAAGATGCAAGGAGTGTCTCCTTTAAAAACTAGGTCTACGTGACAAACTAAAGGGGGGATTTCCAGACTGAATCGTCTGTTTGTTAGTCAGTTTTGTAATTCTCCTTCTGCATGTTCGTTTGCTCTCTCCTCAGTTTAACTTTGCAAGTGTCCTAAGCGTCTCACTAGCCAACACATCACACCGACACAGGTCGATGCTAATTTAGACTGACTGACCCACTGACTTCTATCCTCCGACAAACGGCATTTCCTTATAAAAGAGTGTCTTTTCTCCTGCGTCTGTGGCAGCAGTGGTGAAACACCTCAAAAATGCTCGAAGTTTAAAAGTGCCAGGCCAGACGGTGTCTTATCATTTCTCCTAAAACCTTGGCGCTTTCAGCTAGCCCCTACTGTGACACATCTTATAAACTTCTCCATAATGGATTCGGAGATTCCGGGAGATTGGCATTCAGGAAGAATCGCTCCTATCCCCGTCAAAAATCCATACTTCCAATTTCCTGCTATTCCACACTATCAAAACTGTGGAAAGAGTTGCATTAGAATTAATCGTACCGTTCTCATACAATTTTTTCGATCCACTACAATTCGCGTATATGGCCAGACGTAGTACCCTAGATATTGTTGATCTTGTGATCCATTCCGCTCTAATAGATTTAGATAAAGATTGCCGTGCGTACGCATGTGCATTTCTTGACTACTCCTCAGCCTTTAATACTATCCCACACTATATGATCCTTAATAGAACGGCTCCAGCCGGCTCTACCAGGTGTGTTGTCTCTTGACTTGGGGATTATTTCACATGCTGCACTCAATTAGTTCAATGAGGCAAACGAAAACAGAGGGTACTTCCCAAAACTGCGGAATCCTTCAAGGGTCTATCTTATTCCCTCACCTCTTCTTCCTCCACACTGGCGGCCTAAGATCACCAAATGAATGCTTGTGTGCAAAATATGTTGTTCAGATGGTTGTTGGCTATCCTCTAAAGCGTCAGCCAAATCTCTAGGTTCTGAAAGATGGTATGTACTACGTCTCAGCATGGTCCTTAGTCAGTGGTCCCCTAATGAATAATCAGAAATCAATCCAGTGTGTTTCCCGGTTGCGACCCTCTCCCTATCCTGCCCAGTGAGGTTTCCTCTTTCCGGTACCTTGATGTTACTGTGACACCTAATCGCTCATTTGCCCTTCATATGGAAACTCTCTTCATTAAAATTTGTAAACTCCTATATTATGTCAGTCACACACACGTCAGGCCCTAATCTGGCGATTTATAGATACCCGTATACTCCTTTTCATTCTCTTCTGCTCTTCGGTTATTCTTCCAGCCTTGCTTAAAAAATAATTGTGGTTCTTAAACGTATCCTCCGAATGCCACTTTCAGCCGGCGGTGTTTCTTATGATTTTTAGCGATGTTGTAGAACGGTCAAGCAATTTGCTGACCGAATTCTTGACGAGGTTGCCAATCTGCTCCGCTTTGAATCAATGGCTGTGAAGTCTTCTCGTAATATGCGCCGAGGCTTTCGACATACGTCTTGCCGTGTATCGCCATATCAAGATTCTGTACGGCCATTTCTAGCACGCTACCTTGCGTGTAAAGAAAAGAAAATTCAGAAACTGAGTTTAGACCCGTCTCCATAAACGGATGAGTATTTTATGTAAACTTCTAGATTTTTGGGGTATTTTGTTGATTTATCCTGTGGTTTGCTGAAAATGTTGGATGCTACCTTCAAAATAAAGCTTATTTCTCTTTCTCTTATATTATGTATTACTTACAGCCATGAAATGCTTATTTTTTCGTTGCCTAACCATTTCTAAAGCACATCAAAGTTTGGAAAACTTTACTACTAGTAATATGAGCCTTAAACAGATTAGGTCTAACTTCTTATAAGCGAACAGCCCTCCAGAAAAAAGCCAGCTAAAATTGCTCGGTGTATCAATGAGAAGTTGCGTGCGACGCAAACTTGAAGTCGGCAAGGCTGTTCAGCCTAACTGCATA